TCGGGTGACAACACAGCGTATTGTCTCGCGTTAGGTGTGCCTCGCGAAGTTTGCCTACTTGCTAATACATTCAATTTCGTTATTCGTCTTCACTGGTATTTTTGTTCACCCGCAACGTAGCGTGACACTGCCGACAGCCGTAACTATGTAGCTGATCGAGAACTGAAGCTTGACTTTTGTTTGAACAGACCTTTAGTCTGTGTGTGTGGTCGAATTGCCTACTTGAACAGCGCAAACGCTTGTTTGAACATAACTGCTAACGTTTGAGCACATTCTATTCAGATTGTTTTCATCATGTGTAACTTTCAGAATATTCTTGTTATTCAGAGTTTTACTGCCATCGCCTTTGGCTAAGTACTTCAGATATTAAAAGTATTTTCGCGGCAAGGTTCCTTTTGGCGTTGCGTAAATCAGTTGCCAGACTTTGGGGTGGTTGTGGCCAGACTGCCGCTAAATTTGGCTGAAAATGTTTCTTTTGTAGTTAAGGCTTTTTCGTAAGAATTTGGTGCCATCCGTAGTGCATTTCGCGAGTGCATGAGCGATGCAAGCCGTTTTAATTAACGGAATGAACCGAGCCTAGCAGAAGTCGAGCGTGACGCTGCCGTGCAATTAGGGGGCCAATTTAATTAATGAAACGAACCGCGCCTAGCAGAAGTCGAATTTGTTTTAATTGATGGAATAAACCGAGCGTTACAGAATTCGTTTTATTTACGGAATAAACCGCGCGCTACAGAAGTCGAGCGCGGCGCTGCCGTCGACTTCTGCTAGGTGCGGTTCATTTCGTTAAATAAATTGGCCTCTTAATTGCGCAGCAGCGCCGCGCTCGACATCTGGTAGACACGGTTCATTCCGTTAGCTAAATTGGCCTCCTAATTTAATTAAAACGAATTCTGTAATGCGCGATTCATTCCGGTAATTAAATTGGCCTCTTAATTGCGCAGCAGCGCCGCGCTCGACTTCTGCTAGGCGCGGTTCATTCCGTTAATTAAAACGGCCAGCGTCGCTCGAACGCGAAATGCACCGCGGATGGCACCAAATTCTCACGGAGAAGCCACAACTACAGGACAAAAAAATTTGCAGTGAATTTTAGCGGCAGTCTGGCAACACTGACCCTCCCAGTCTGGCAACCACTTATGCAACGCCAAAAAGAACCTTGCCCTTTTCGCTATGTAAATCGTATTATTAGTTTTTGTTGCACAAAAACACTTTATTGTTATACATTCTGCACGGTATCTAAGCATGTGTTGCAGCCAAAATGTAAGACTGGGCAGCATATCTATCTGGGAACACAACACGCACAGCCATTGAACAGCCTACGCTGCATCGGGAAGGAGTTATGGTTTTTCACCCTGACAGCTTGATTGAAACAAATGGCCCTATTTTAGAAGTATGCAATGGTCTATAAGTGAAGGTAACAGGGTCACCTTATTCGACATTTCCCAGCCAATTTTGCGGCTATGGCAAATGTGTTTGAAAAAAAAATTGTGCTGAATTAATACTCTGAAAACAGTGAACTGCTTGAATGTTGGAGAGAAATAAATTTTTTGGTCACGTGGTTGCCTTTCAAACTTTGCAGACTGTTGTTTGTGAAAAAAAAATATTTTACAAGTTCCTCACCTTTTTTATACCACGTTTGGTACACGTTAAGTAAAGGGGCTTATGTAAGGTGTTTGAAACTCAGTCATAATAATACAAATTTTCGGCCACATACGTCTGCAAATATTAGCCAAAGTGTGTTATGTTTGCATTTTCTCATTGCCATGCTGCACGTTGTATGAATATCTGAGCTGTGACTACTTACTTCACAGAAAAGATATTTTGATGAAAAACTATTTTTAGACATCTTAAGCTGTTGACCTCTACGAGAAAAGATCACTAATTTCACAGAATTGTCATTTTTGTCCGTATTGAGACGCAATTTGCACCATGTGGTGGTTCAATTAAAAATCACCTTTTACCGAAATTGAAAGAAAATAAACAGTTCTTTGTATGGTGTAAGTTTCATCATTACAATTACTATTTCAAGGAACAAAATATTTTTTTAATTTTCCCATCAACGGCAATAGGGAACTTCGAGGCGTCGGCTGCCAGATGACCAAATGGCGAATGGGGAACTTGGAACTTCAAAAGTCATTAAGGGCCAAAGCTCTTGAGGCCGTGGGTCGTTCTTCCTCTGTAGTCGTACTAGTATTATTTAGCCACTTGATGAGTTGCACAATAGGTAGCGTTAGTGGTTTTCACAGCATATACACGGACAAAATGATGATTCGTGGGACGAATCGTTCGTCCGTACATTTGTGCTTTCGTCCGTTCGTCTGTGCATCCATCCGTCTGGGCTTCCGTGTGTCGGTCTGTCTTTGAGTCTGTCCGTCTTTCTGTTCGTTTATACTGGCGTCAGACTGTCTGTCCATCCGTTTGTGCGTCCGGATGGACGAACGCTACGCCCCACTCATCATCATTCACTCCGTGGATATGCTGTGATCTTTTTCTCAAAACATAAATTGCTATGACAAAATTTGGCACATGAAAAGAACTGTTTATTCGCTTCGATTTAGGTACAAAGTCTATTTTAATTCAACCACCACATGGTGCAAGAGGCGTCTCATAATAGACAAAACAGTTATTTTGTGAAATTTGCGATTTTTTCTCGTAAAGTTTGACAGCTTGAGAGGTCTATAATATTTTTTCCTCCAAATATATCTTATGTGGATTAAGTATTCACTCCTAAGGTATCCATTCAAAGTGCAGTATTGATATAGAAAAATGCAGATGTAACACATTTCGGCGAAATTATTTGAGGCGTATGTGGTCAAAAATGGTAATATTACTGAGCTTCAAACACTTTACGCAAGCCCTTCACTTAACTTGTAGACCAAAGTTGGCACGGAAGAAGAGATAGATACTTATGAAAGAATTTTTTTCACAAACATCCAGAAGAGATTCTGAGAAGTTCAGGAGGCAGCCACGTCATGAACAAATTATTTGTCTGCGAAATGTTCTAGCAGTTACCCTTTTTAATGCAGTAAAATCAGCGCGATTTTTTAATACATTTGCGGTGGTCACCAAAATGGCTGGGACGTCTGATGTGGAATGACCCAATAGCCAATTCTTCCTTTATATAATCGTGTCAATGTGAGCCAGTTCAAGAACACTAGTATCATTTGCATTTTGATAAGTAACTGTACATTACTTATTTTACAAGTTACCTGCACTGAATACCTTTTCAATGCGCATACCTTCATGTGTGTTAAGTGGCATTGTGCTTTTGTGCAATACAGATAAATAATGTATGTGTTGTTGCGCGTCGTACTGTAATCCTTTTAATAAACTAATCGAATGAGTACCATGGTAGATCTGCAGAAATGCACATGACGCTGTGTTGATGCATACTTAAGCATAGAACTTGACATTCACTTAGATTGGTCGTTGCATGCAGCTAATGAAACATTATCAACTTGGAGCAGCACCTTTTTATTTGCCTGCGCGAGCAAGCTGAAAGGGTAAATTAAAGTTCATATACGGCACGAAAGGTAGAATGATTCTGCCACAGCGCGCTTTTTATGGCGTTTATTGCTCAGCATACCTTTTCTAGCATTTTTCACTGCAGTGGAGCCCGATGCCACTGAATATGCTTGCTATGCACTCAATTTATACTTACACATAAGAAAGCAGTTAGTTATGCATGGTGCACACTGTATGTTGCACTCTTTGTGAAATCTCAGTCATTCTTCCTTGTGTACTTATTTTAGGTTTCCGGGATTGAATTTGCTGTACAGAAAGAACAGCTTCGCCCCACTTCTCTCGAAGGCACCAGTCATCTTTGCAGCTGAAGATGATTGTGCAAGCAGTAGTGACGAGTGCTTTTGCAGTTAGAAGTGTACGAACACTGACATTACATTATTACAACCTCAAATACACTATCTTGTCCAATTTTCTCTTTTTTAATTGTCGAAATTTATACTGCGAGATGTAATATGTTGTAAATGTAACTCTAAAAACTGGCTTACTCTTTCTACGTGTTTTTTTCTTCTATTGTATTGGTGTCAATGAAACGTCATACGTCTCAGTCGTTTGCCCGACTAGCGCAAATATTTTTGAAAGTTGTGGAGATTTATTGTATTCAAAACAATGAATTTTTAGTATAGCAAGAAATTTGGTCACGTGACATATTTCAAAATTTTGCAGAATGCCATCAGAGTCCTGTTTGTCAGAGTTGCAGTTTTTCTGTAATAAAGGCAGATGTTAACATATGGGCTTAATTGTTTTTTGCTTCGGCGTTATGTTCGGTTGCACCTTACGCTACAGGTTCCTGCTTGCACTACTGTGGTGTGGTGCGCGCGCGCGCGCGCGCGCGCGTGTGTGTGTGTGTGTGTGTGTGTGTGTGTGTGTGTGTGTGTGTGTGTGTGTGTGTGTGTGTGTGTGTGTGTGTGTGTGTGTGTGTGTGTGTGTGTACACATATATACACTGGTCTCATGCAGCTCATTCAAGACCATGGAACCTTATTTTGTCAGCCGCAGAAATGGTTTATATATGCTTCTCCCTGAGAACAATTGAGGCTTGGACCAGTTGGTGATGCATATTTGATAGAATGAAGTGCTATGAATGGCTCTCCTCAACACACAAGTCTAAACGTCACCTCCTGTGTCTCTGCTTTTGTTGCCCGGTAATTGCGCATCATTTGATCAAGTATGCTCATCCATATAACTGCCAGCGTTTCAAAGTGTTTTCAGTGTACACCCCACTCGCATGGGTGTAGCTTCATCCAACACCCATTGTTTAGGGGTGCTCATAAACACCTATTAAAGTAGGGTGTAACGTTTCTTTACACCCTACGGCTCAGGGTGTTTTTATACACTTTATTGTTTCGGGGTGTTCTTAGACACCCTAAGAGGGTGTTGCCCATGGGACAAAACAAATACACCCTTATGGGAGTAAACATTTTAGAGTGTACCGCCCCTGTGGCTGGTATTCACGCTTCTCGGCCCATGCACGCTGTGCAGCCACTCCTGGCACCGACCCGGACGTGGACGCAGTGCTTAACGAGCTGGAAGAGTACAAGGTCGTCGTTCGCAACTGCCTTGGGTCTCACACGCTCTTGATGGGCGCCACAATCAAGGCGGTGGACCCGAGATACGAACCCGGCTCGCCAAAAGGGTACGTCGTGTTCCGGACCCAGCGAATGTTTCCTACCGACAGGCAGTGGTTCAACTTTAGAAGGTAAGTTCTTAAGAAGGTAATTACATTAACAAAGTTTCATACATTATGTTTCATACATCATGATCATCAGCCTGACTACGTCCACTGCAGGACAAAGGCCTCTTCCATGTTCCGCCAGTCCTGTGCTTGCTGCTGCCAATTTATACCCGCAAACTTCTTAATCTCATCTGCCCACCTAACCTTCTGTCTCCCCCAACCCGCTTCCCTTCTCTGAGAATCCAGTTAGTTGCCCTTAATTACCAGCGGTTGTCCTGTCTACGCGCTACATGCCCGGCCCATGTCCATTTCCTCTTCTTTATTTCAACTATGACATCCTTAACCCCCGTTTGTCCCCTAATCCACTCTGCTCTCTTCTTGTCTATTAAGGTTACACCTACCATTTTTCTGTCCATTGCTCGCTACGTCGTCCTCAATTTAAGCTGAACCATCTTTGTAAGTCTCAAGATTTCTGCTCCGTAGTTAAGTACCGGCAAGATAGAGCTGTCATATACCTTCCTCTTTAGGGATAGTGGCAATCTACCCGTCATAATTTGAGAGTGCTTGCCGAATGTTCTCCACCCCATTCCTATTCTTCTAGTTACTTCAATAGCGTGGTTCGGCTCTGCGGTTATTACCTGCCCTAGGTAGATATAGTCTTTTACAACTTCAAGTGCACTATTAACTATCTCGAAGCGCTGCTCCTTTCCGAGGTTATAGTAGATTACTTTTGTTTTCTGCAGATTAATTTTAAGACCCACCTTTCTGCTCTCCTTGTCTAACTCCGTAATCATGAGTTGCGATTCGTCCCCTGAGTTACTCAGCAATGCAATGTCATCGGCGAAGCGAAGGTTACTAAGGTATTCTCCTTAACTCTTATCCCTAACTGTTCCCATTCTAGGCTTCTGAAAACCTCCTATAAGCACGCGGTAAATAGCATTGGGGAAATTGTGTCCCCCTGCCTTACACCCTTCTTTATTTGTATTCTGTTGCTTTCTTTATGAAGCACTATGGTAGCAGTTGATCCCCTGTAGATTTCTTCCAGAATGCTATATACTTCATCTACGCCCTGATTCGGCAGTGTCTGCATGACGGCTGATATTTCTACTGAATCGAACGTCTTCTAGTAATCTTCGAAGGCTATGTATAGTGGTTGGTTATACTCTGAGCATTTCTCTATTACCTGATTGATAGTATGAATGTGGTCAATTGTTGAGTAGCCTGTTCGAAATCCTGCTTGTTCCCTTGATTGATTGAATTCTAATGTTTTCTTTACTCTGTTAGCAATTACCTTTGTAAATAGCTTGCATACTACAGAGAGCAAGCTGATCGGCCTGTAATTCTTCAAGTTTTTGTCATCTCCTTTCTTATGTATTAAGATGATGTTAGCGTTCTTCCAAGACTCTGGTACTCTTCCCGTCAGGAGACATCTCGTAAACAGGGTGGCTATTTTTTCTAACACAATCTCTCCTTCATCTTTCAGCAGATCTGATGTTACCTGATCCTCACCAGCAGCTTTGCCTCTGCATGCTCTCCATAGCCTTTCTGACTTCTACTACCATTACTGGAGGGGTGTCATCTGGGTTACTGCTAGTTCTTATGGTATTAAGGTCGTGGTTGTCTCGGCTACTGTACAGATCTCTGTAAAACTCCTCTGGTATTTTAACTATCTTATCCATATTGGTAGTTATTTTGCCTTCTTTGTCCCTTAGTGCATACATCAAACTTTTGCCTATCCCAAGTTTCCTCTTCACTGCTTTGACGCTTCCTCCGTTTTCCAAACCGTGTTCAATTCTCTCCATGTTATACCTTCTTACATCGCATACCTTACGTCTAATAATCAACTTCGAAAGCTCTGCCAGGTCTATTTTGTCTGTTGTACTTGACACTTTCATAATTTGATGCTTCTTAATTAGGTTCTTCGTTTCCTAGGAAAGCTTGCCAGTGTCCTGTCTAACTACCCTGCCTCCAACTTCCACTGCACACTCCGTATTAATACTCATCAGGTTATCGTTCATTGTATCTACGCTAAGGTTGGTTTCCTCACTAAGAGCCGAGTACCTGTTCTGCAGCGACACTCTGAATTCCTGTACTTTCCCTCTCAGTGCTAGCTCATTGATTGGCTTCTTGCGTATCAGTTTCTGTCGTTCCTTCTTTCAAGTTTAGGGGAATTCGAGATCGCACCATTCTATGGTCACTGCAACGTACCTTGCCAACCACTTCCACATCCTGCACGATCCCTGGGAGTGCACTCATTATAAAGTCTATTTCGTTCTTATTTTCGCCACTAGGACTCCTCGGTGTCCACTTGTGGTTTCCTCGTTTTCGTAGAAGGTATTCAAAATCCGTAAATTATTGCGTTCTGCGAATTATACTAGTAGCTCTCCTCTGGCCTTTCTAGCACCGATGCCATAATCTCCTACTGCCTGGTCTCCAGCCTGCTTCTTCCCTACTTTTGCATTAAAGTCGCCCATCGCGTCTCTCATAATCAAATAGTGGTTTTGGGACGTTAAACCCCACAAATCAAAGTCGCCCATCACTATAGTATACTGTGTTTTTACCTTACTCATTGCCGATTCCATGTCTTCATAGAAGCTTTCAACTGAACCGTCATCATGGCTGGATGTAGGTGCGTAAGCCTGTACAACCTTCACCTTGTATCTTTTATTCAGTTTAATTACAATACCTACCACCCTTTCATTAATGCTATAGTATTCCTCTATGTTGCCAGCTATGTTTCTGTGAATTAGGAACCCCACTGCCAGTTCTTTTCTGTGTTCCAAGCCCCGATAGCAAAGGACGTGCCTATTCTTTAGCACCGTATAGGCTTCATCTGTCGTCCTAACCTCACTGAGCCCTAATATATCCCATTTAACACCCTCTAGCTCCTTGAATAGTACAGCTGAATTTCCCTCACTACATAAGGTTCTAGCGTTGAACGTTGACAATTTCAGGTTTCTATGGCGGCCTGTCCGGATCCAGAGATTCTTAGCACCCTCTGCTGCGTTGCAGATCTGACCGCCGCCGTGGTCAGTTGCTTCGCAGCTGCTTGGGACTGAGGGCCGTGCGTTATTTGACGTATGCATGTGGGAGGTAGTGGAAAGATACAGCACCAGGGTGGCCAATCCTTCTCTGGTGAGGGAGTGCGTTCCCGGCGGTGGTTACCGGTGAGGCGGCACCCCAGGCCTCTTAATGCAGTTCCATCAACACGCGTATTTTTTATTTAATTTTTATGTTTCATTTTTTTATTATGTTTCTCACACAATGATTTCGAAAAGCGTGAGGTCCGCTGTGGAGGTGTATAGTGGTTACGTAGCCCTACTCCAGACCTGAAGGCTGGTGGTTCGATTCCACCCGTGGCAGGGACGATTAGATGGAGCCGAAATGCTACTGGTCCGTCTCCGGTGTGATGTTAGTTCACGTGAAAGAACACCAGATTATTAAACTTTGCTGGAGCCCTCCAACACTGATTTAAGCTCTAGCGTCCCTCAAAATATTTCTTCTTATGTTTCCTATGGGACGAAGAAGTGTGTTTTGAATAGGAGCTACTGCTGCTAACTCCGGCGTATTTCAGTTGTAATTTAAGTCTGTTGATCAGTTTTCGCTGCTCCCTTGGAGGGGATGGATGTAGACCACCCCGGGCGCCTGCCGGCACCAGCGGCGTCAGCGGCGGCCGCCTCCAGTAAGCGGATGGGACAAGCGAGTGACAGCGACAGTGAAGATACTCATGCTTACTATCTCAGCAGTGAGGACTTTTCAGATGACGGTTTCCAATCTGTGCTGAGCCGCAAAGCGAAGAGGAGGAACATGAGGACATCCTCATCCTCAACTATTCAAACTGTATGTAAAGCGCCAAAATCGAACACTTATACCATCATGTTTCTGCCTGCACTTCCTACCGTCAGCATGAAACGCCTTAACAGACAGTCTGTGTCGAGGTCTCTGGAAACGCTCGTGCCAAATGAGATCACGGACATAAGAGTGAACGCCAGAAAGAATATACTGGCTGTGGACGTTTTGCACGCAAGTGCGTTGGGCGTTCTGCGCAGTGTAACTGACTTGGACGGCAACCAGGTGCGCTCTCATGTTCCCTTGGAATGTGATGTAGTGACCGGCGTGATCTACGACAGAGATGTGGCTATTTCTAATAATGACTTACAATTTCTTGTCAAGTCAACAACTGATACTCCAATTGTTGATATCACTCGGCTAGTCAAGTCTCGCTGTGTGAAGATTGCGTTTAAGAGCACATCACTCCCCTTTCATGTGAAGGTGGGGTACTTCAGACATGCTGTGCGGCCTTTTATTCCAAAGCCTCTCCAGTGCCGTAAATGCATGAAACTTGGACATGTGAGCAGCGTCTGCGAGAATTCGGTGGTATGCCACCGCTGCGCCGAGCCCCATGACGCGGATAAGTGCGTCGCAACTGTCAAGAAATGCTCTAATTGCAATGAATTCCATGAACCCATATCGAAGGACTGCCCGCGGATTCAGAAGGAAATGGCTATCTTGAAGGAGATGGTGCGCGATCACTCATCTCATCGAGAAGCCGCAGCTAAAGTCAGAAGGCGTCGTTCACGTCGACGTCGGTCTTCAAGGACGCCCGCTACCTCCTCGACACGTTTGCCAGATCCCTCATCAGTACCACCTTTTTTGCCTCCCAGACCACATGCCGTGGGAAAGGCTGTAAAGGAAAAAGCCAGTGAGCATACCTTAACTGCGACAGAGTGGCCTGCACTTCAAAGGGAAGCAGCATCAAGCGAACCGAAGGAGTTTCATGACGGCCAGTCCGCGATCCTGGTTCGAGATCTTTCCAACCAAGGCAGGCAAGTGACTGCAATCGTGCAATTAATTGCCACGATTCGCACGCTACTGAGCAGCATACAATCTCCGTCTGCTGAGAGTGCACTGCAAATACTAGATGCACTGAATGCAGTTCTTCCTAACGTCGTATAAGCACAATGGCTCAACAAAATCTCATCTTCCGCACTGAAGTTGAAAGTGCGTCGATTTTTCAGTGGAAT